TGCCGTACATGTGTTGCGCGAGGGTGACAGAGGAAGGGGAGGGGAGGGGAGTGAAGCGCGGGTGCGACGCGGCAAGGAAGAACACCATAACCCCACGAAACATTTTGGGACGAAATGGGACTTGTGAGATTCCCGTCTTTTTTTAAAGTTGCCGTGTCTGGGCTGTGGGTTAAACATTTTCTGGATGCAGGCCACGGTCTGTTGGGATGCCTCTCGGGGCCTTCTTGCAAAAATAAGCAGGGGGTGAGTTTGAAAACAAAGAAAAATCAAGCATTCCTTTTTTCAACTCACGGGATCATGGGATCTCGATTTCTACGGTGGTTTCAGGGGCAGCCAAGAGGACACGACGACGATCCAAGAGAGTTCCAAGACAGCGTCATCAGAGAGTTCACTCCCAACAAATCTTCGCATGCGACCCCGAAGTCTTGAGGAGGCTCGACGAAGAGGATAGGGAGGAGTCCCAATTTGAACAAAAAAATGGAATCGGAGGTTGGGGGGTGAGATCGCAGTGAAACGGGGACCCCCCCCCGGGAAATCGGTTTCGGTTTCGTGTTCGTGTCGTGCGTGCGGGCGAGGCGAAGCTGCGCGCGATGCTCCTGTAGCCAGGCCGAATTAGGAGCGAAAGTCCATTCCCGTCCGCCAGTGGCTGGGAGGTGTCCCAGTTGGGCCGGGCGGTGTCCCGGGTGTCCCGGGTGTCAGTAGCTAGGAGCGGAAGTCCGTTTCCCGTCCGCCGGTGGCCCGGGTGTCCCAGTTGGGCCGGGCGGTGTCCCGGGTGTCCCAGGTGTCCCGGGCGTCCCGGCGCTAACGCATGTCGCTAATTTCAGATTTCATTTTTTTCGGCGCCTGCGGCGGGCTTATCTCATCCAATCCATCTTATCCAATCCAATCCATCTTATCTTATCCAACCCATCTTGTCCCATCTGATCTTATCCCACCCAATCCAGTCCACCCAACCTAATCCATCAATTCATTTGTTTCTGCGCCTGCGGCGGGCCAATCCAATTCATCTTATCTGATCCAATACATTTCTTCTAATCCAACCCATCTTATCTTATCATGTCCATCTTATCCCATCCAATCTAATCCACCCAACCCAATCCATCAATTCATTTGGGTCGGCGCCTGCGGCGGGTTTTCTTATCCAATCCAGCTTATCTTATCCAAGAGAGAGATGAGAAACAGAGAGATGAGATCAAGATGACAGGCTGGAGGTCAGTCAGGGTGGGCATTTGATCTCAATCCCCCCCGACCTCCTTATCGCCCGCAGGGCGGTCGTACAGGTATCTGGACTTCAATGTTTTTAAAAGTTCCTCGGTCTTTGGGCTTTGGAGGCGGGAAAACGTGAGAAGGCGAAAAACGTTGAAAACAAAAACCGGAAGTCAAGGAATTGACCCACTTCGGGCTCTCTCGGGCCGGCTCTCTAAGCTCTCTTGGGATATGTGTGGGGTCTCGTCGGGGCTTTTTCGGGGCTTCTCAGGAGTCTGGGGTATGAGAAGGGGGGCCAGGGTTTTCACGCACACCCCGATTCTAAAAATGTAAGATGAGGCTTATACATGTGCATATATAGATGTGTCTCCCTCTGCATCGATCGATACAATATATACATATATATATATGTATACACATGTATATATACATAATTGTATATATGTACACATGTATGTATATGTGTACATATATGTATGTGTACGTGCCTCCCCATCCGTATGCAACTGGCACATGGGTGGACACACATCTTCCGACGCTGTATACACACGTGTGTCATGCTGCCCTCGACGATCTTCATACATATCGTTCCACTCGCTCGTATACACATTTGCGTTATAAGCGAGCACTGGTGTTTACCAGGCGTGAACTCTAGTATGCACAAGACATTGGGTGCTGGTACGTAGGTCTTGCGTGAACAAACCCTGACTCTTTTCACTCGCACTCATCCATCATATCGCATCAGAAAATAATAGGGATCGTCCACATGTGAGAAAACTGATGCGTGCGGCGCCAAGACGAATCACACTTTGATAGCCACCAGCTTCATTCATCGGCACTTCAAGCTTTGAGGGTGCATGTTGTAAACGTATCTTCTCAGGCGAGAAGCCACGCACATCCTGCCGAGACGCCTCTCAGTGCAGCGACGAGAAGCTACTTATTAGAAAGAGGGGCGTCGGAGAGAGGAGTGAGGGTGATAGGCGGGAGGAGCGTGCCAAGCGAGAGGAGGGACAGGACGAGATACGGAGGGAGTCAGGAGGGGCGAAGGAGGGAGGAGGCAGGCGGGGGGGGCGAACCGCCGAAACGAGGAAGGACGACGAACACCTGAAGGGGCGGCATCCGCCTCAGATGCGCAGATGCTCAAGGACAGAAGGAGGAGGGGAAGGAGCCAACGTACCGAAAGGCAGCACGCCTTTGGGTACGTGTCGGACGTCGGACGTGTCGACGAAAACGCCGTGGGCGACTGCGATGGCGTCGCCGCGGCAGTCGTGAGGGCTGGTACCGTTGCCGCCAAAGCGATGCAGGTCGACACCACCATGAGGCTGGTCAGCAGCACCGCCGTCGAGATGATAGGCGGGCGCGTGTTTAATTGGAAAGTGAGCCCAGAAGACCATCGCGGTCATAACTACAGTAGATGGACAATATATTCGAACCCTCACACATTCGAGGGAGATTCTGAATCACCCCCGCGCCCCCGACATCAATGTTGATCTCAGCAAAGGCGGTGCTTTGGGGTTCGAATATTTCTGTCCACTCACGCCCCCCCCGTCGCCACGCCATCAATATTAAATTCGGGGGTTCGGGGGGGCATCTTGGGCCACAGGGTTCGAATATAATGTCCATGCACGGTCCCCCATCTTGTTTTGCAGGTGGGAGTAGGGAGGAGGGAGAGGAGGAGACTGTACAGATGCCACAAACGTCAGCATTACAATCATAATCGCCCTCATCGGCGGCATCATCTCCACCATCATCATCATCATCATCATCATCATCATCATCATCATCATCATCATCATCATCATCATCATCATCATCATCATCATCATCATCATCATCATCATCATCATCATCACCATCATCAGTATCAGCATCATCAGCAGCAGCATCATCATCACCCACAACCCTCAAGGAGGAATGAGGAACAGGAGGGAGGAGGGGGGGAGGAGAACGAGGAGAAGGAATAGGAGGAAGATGGAGGTTCCGCTCCTGGGCGTAAGACGCTGGGGCAAGGGGTGAGACGTTTCAGGAGGAGTGCGGAAGGGTCTGGAGGAATGGGAGAACCCCACAGGATTGGGAGGAGTGCGGAGGGTTGAGGGGAAATGGGACGGTTGGGGAGGTGAGGAAGGAGTGCGGAGGCGTGGGGAGGACTGGGAGGGTTGCGGAGGTTTCGGGGGGAGTGCGGATGGGTGGGGAGGAATGGGAGGTGGAGGAAATCCTTTAGGGAGGAGTGCGGAAGGGTGGGGAGGAATGGGGCGTTGCAGAAGTTTGGGAGGAGTGCGGAGGGATGTGGAAGGATGAAAGGGTTGCGAAGGTGTCGGGAGGAGTGCGGAAGGGCGTGGAGGAATGGGAGGGTTGCGGAGGTCTCTTTCGGGAGGTGTGCGGAGGAGTGGGGAGGAATGGGACGGTTTCACAAGGTTTGGGAGGAGTGCGAGGGGATGTGGAGGCATGGGAGGGTTGCGGAAGTTTCGGGAGGAGTGCGGAGGGGTGTGGAGGAATGGGGGAGGTGCGGATATGTGCGGATGTCCCGGGAGGAGTGCGGGGGAGTGGGGAGACATGGAAGGGCTCCGGAGGTTTCGGGGGGCGTGCGGACGGATGTGGAGGAATGGGACGGTTGTGGAGGTTTCGGGAGGAGTGCGGAGGGGCCTGGAGGAATGGGGGAGGTGCGGGTGTCTGGGAGGAGTGCAGAGGGATGTGGAATGATAAAAGGGTTGCGGAGGTTTCGGGAGGAGTGCGGAGGGATGTGGGGGAATGGGAGGGTTGCGGAGGTTTTGGGAGGAGTGCGGAGGGATGTGGAGAGATGGTAGAGTTGCGGATTTTCGGGAAAAGTGCGGAGGGGTGGAGAGACTGGCAGGATTGCGGAGGTTTCGGGAAGAGTTCGGAGGGGTGTGGAGGACTGGGACGGTTGCGGAAGGTTTGGGAGGAGTGCGCAGGGTGGGGGGGAATGGGACGGATCGCGGATGTTCGGGAGGAGTGCGGCGGGGCGGAACGAATTGGAAGGGCTCCGGAGGTTTCGGGAGGAGTGCGGAAGAATGTGGGGGAATGGGAGACTTGCGGAGGTTTTGGGAAGAATGCGGCGGGGTGTGGAGGAATGGGAGAGTTGCGGATGTTCGGGAAGAGTGCGGAGGGGTGAGAAGAATGGCAGGATTGCGGAGTTTCTGGGAAGATTGCGGAGGGGTCTGGGGGAATGGGTCGGTTGCGGAAGGTTCGGGAGGAGTGCGGAGGGGTGGGGGGGAGTGGGGCGGTTGCGGAGGTTTCGGGTGGAGTGCGGAAGGGCGTAATTTTTGTTGGCGGAGTGCGGTGTGGTGCGGACGACTGCAGGGGAGTGGCGAGGACTGGGAAGGAGTGGGGGGCCTGCGGAGGAGTTGGGAGTGAATGGAATTTAACGGAATGCAGCGGGGGGCCTCTGTCGTAGACCTCGCCCGAGAGGGCCTCCAGGGGGCCTTGTGAAGATCCACGGGGGCTCCAAGACGACCCCCAAAGAGGCTCCACGCGGACTGACGGACGGGCCCAGAGGCGACAGCACTGGCATCGTCGACGGTGATGGTCGGAGTCGTGCCGGGACAGAAGCACGACGTGCCCGTGGCGGTCGTGCAACGCTCTAGGGGTCTGCCGAAATTGTCGGGGCGCGGCATGCGGAGTCAGCCATCGGGGCCTTCCGTGGAGTTCCCGATGGGGCAACGAGGTGTGGCAACGACGATAATGGCGACAGTGATGATGGCGATGATGGTGATGATGTTTGCGCGCAGCGACCCCAATCGCACGCGGCAGGACTACTTGGGCTTGAACTTAAGAGCCTCGCTTGTGACGAGGGTCGAGAAACAGCGTGGGCACGGCACTAGCTTCGGGGCCGGCGGCTTGGGAATCGGCACAGTGAATAAATACAGTTTCAGCCGCCGGAGCAGCATGCCAGCCTGCCCCTGCGGGCGCTGCGACGACTCGGACGAGAGGCCCGCCAGCGCCGTCTCGGGGCAGGGGACAAAAATCGGGGCGGACCCCATGTACACCTTGTGCCCGACGTGCTGGTTCTGGGGCATGGTGATGGGCACGGGCTTGCCCTCCAGCCACAGGAGCTGGATGGACAGGGGGAGGTCCTCATCGATGAACATCCACTCGTCCAGCACCGCGGCCTTGGCCTTGTCCAAGCCGCGGAGGCAAAACTGCCCCCCGCCTGGCCTCTCCTGCACGTGCTCACCGCCGAACAGCGGCCGAACCGCCGAGAAGAGAAGAGACTTCCCCTCTCCGCCGAAGCGCCCAGCCAAGGTGACCCCCGGGGCCGCCTCGGACCGACCGTGCTTCAGGGACATCAAGATGCTGCTGCACAGGTCGGGGACGTCGATGCGATTCATCGACAGGCTTTCGCGGACGCGGTGCAACCAGCGGCCGCCGCAAACGCAAGGCGTCCGCAAGGCCTCCTTGAACTGCTGCATGACGGGTTTCGTCGCGTCTTCGAGGAAGCTGTCCACGTTCTCCCGCGCCCAGGCCTTGTCGATGATCTTCTCCAACACGTGCTCGTTCTTGAACATCCAGTCAACCACCTTGTGCGAGCAGGACGTCTTAGCGTACGCCATCAACTTGCGCACTGCGTGGGGGTCGCCCGGAGTATTCCGGATCCCAGACCTGACCACTATCGGCCACAAGTCCACTTCCTCGACGCGAGGCTCTGGCTTCCCCTTCTCGCCCTCGACCTGCTCCCGCGCGGTCCTGCGCTTCTCCAAGGCGCGGGCGGTCGTCGGCTCCCTCTTCGCCGCGGACAGCGGCGGGTGGTCCGCGGGCCAAGCCAAGTAGTCAACGTCCAGGGAGCTCCGCGGCTTCTTGGGCGTCGCGTTCGCGCAGTACCCGACGGCCGACCAGTACCCGTCGTGGCTGCAGGACCAGTGAGAAGCGAGTTGGTACCTGTTGAGCAAGGCCCGCTTCACGGTCAGGAACTTGCTCTTCTTGCCCAGGTGCAAGGCCACGCGGTAGTGCGCCCGCCGGACGCCTGCCACTGGCGCGTGGTATTCTTTGAATACCACCAGCTTCTTGACCCCGACGGGCGCGGCCCCCTGCCCGCGGTGGCTTGCGAGCCACGCGGGGGCGGCGTCCGGAGCGCCGCAGCAATCCAGGAAAGCGTCGCGGACCTCCTCCC